AAGCCTAAACCCCGTTTTCTGGGGACGACAACACAGCCTGGCCTCTGTTTCTTTCACTTTGGCGAGCATGGCGGCACCCTCTTCCTGCAGCTACTTTGATCTGGTTCCCGGTTGGGGCTGTATTCGAAGTGATCAGTCTTAAGCCTTATTGGGCCTTATGATAACAAACATGTGTAACATCCTAGATAACTTTTTACTTGGGTTGTATGATAGCAAAACCCTAAACCCTGAAGCCTAAACCGGGTTTCATGACAGCAAAACCCTAAACCCTAACCGGGTTTTATGATAGCAAAAATGTAAAGATGGGAGCCGGCAAGGACTCAGCCATGTGGGGAACCGAACTCCTGTGCCGGTGGGCTTTCAGAAGAATGCAGAGGCCTGAATCATTAGAATAGGGTTTTGGGGCCAGTATAGTATAATTACACTAATAACAATAATATCATATTACTGTTAAATAATGATACGAATAATAATAATGAACCAGCGAAATAATATAGGAATTTATTGAGGCCCCTATTTTATGAGTCTACCGGTGCGGCAGGGTTGAGGCCAGAATCGGGCTCCAAGCCCCAAGGATTGGGGTTTAGGGCTTAGGGATTTAGGGGTTTACGGTTTAGGGGTTTAGTTCAGTTTTGTTCTTTAGGGGTTGAGGGGTTTATTTTTAGCTTTAGGGGTTTAGGGGTTTAAGGTTTAAATTTAGGGTGGGCTCTAGGCTCCAAGCGCTGCACCCGAAAGGTAGCTGATGACGTACCCTACATCTTGCAGGGGGTCGTAATGACTCGAATAAGAGTTTGGGCCTCCAGCATAATCTTCAAGCCCCTAAACCCTTAACCCTAAACCCACCCTAATTATATAGGGACTGTCGAGGCTACCGGGCTGCTACTACGAACTATTCGGCCTCTATATAAGGCCCCGCGCGCGGCTTCTCAGAGAGCCCAATACCCATTAAACAAGGAATAGAGCTTAAATTATAAGGGGGCTTCAAATTATGATTTAAGCTATATTCCTTCTTTAAGGGGTATTGGGCTCTCTGGGTTCGCTCAGATGATTCAATAAGGAGGTCTGGTTCCCTTTAAAGGCTTCTTCAACGAGCTACTTCCCTAAACCCTAAACCCTAAACCCTAAACTTCAGCATCCGGCAAAGAGGAAGCCTGAGGAGCGGCATCCGAAACCCTAAACCCAACACCCCAAATTAAAGGAAACTACACGTGGGGAGTTTAGGCTATATAGGGCTTCTATAAGGCTTCTATAAGGTATATAGACCTTCTATAAGGCTCCCTGAACGGTAGCTACCCACTTGAAAATGCCCTAATTAGACCCAAACCCTAAAGCTAAAGTATCTGCAGCTCTTGGCTTCTCGCTGCCCCCCGGAGTCTCTGGTATGGGCTTAGGGTCTAGGGTCTAGGGTCTAGGGTTTAGGGTTTAGGGTTTAGGGTTTAGGGTCTAGGGCCTAGGGTTTAGGGTTTCCTTAATCTCAAACAACCTACCTTCTACGAACTCATAGAAAGAAATCATAATGAACAAGGGTAGGGTCCAGGTAGGGTCTAAGGAGAACTGCAGAGCGGCAACCTAAAGTCATAAGGAAGACTAGCGAGAAATGGATGTGATAATGTTACAGGTAAACCCAAAACCTGAAGCCTCCTGAAGGGACACATTAAGCCCAACCCTCCTGAACCCTAAACTTTAAGCCCAAAACCTGAACACTCCTTTATGGACACATTAAACCCAACCCTGAACCCAAAACCTGAAAACTCCTTCATGGACACACTAGTACCCCAGAATGCGAAGCCCAAAACTGGATCAACCCGGAAGCCCGAAAGTAATTATGCCAACCCCCGGGACCCAAAAACCCAAAAAGCCCTCAACCTCTGTTTAGGGTTTAGGGTTTATCGACAGAGTCTCATAGTCTGTATAGAAACTAGAACTAGAACTATTAAACAGACATCTAGCACAAAGTGGCAAACACACACAAGCCCGCCAACCCCCCTGAATGCCCTCGCATGCTACGGCCTTGGTCTCTTTGATGAAAGCTTCAACTTTTACTTCCATCTCCTTCTTCAGCTTTTCCTGCCTTGGTTCTGGGCTTCGGGTTTAGGGTTTAGGGGTTTAGGGTTTAGGGTCTCCTTCTTCAGCTTCTCCTGCCTTGGTTTTGGGTCTAGGGTTTAGGGTTTGTTTTTTCAGCTTTTCCTGCCTTGGTTTTGCGTCTAGGGTCTAGGGTTTAGGGCTTATTTCTTCAGCTTTTCCTGCCTTGGTTTTGGGTCTAGGGTCTAGGGTTTAGGGTCTATTTCTTCAGCTTTTCCTTCCTTGGTTTTGCATCTGGGGACGGATGGGGACAAGTCTTCGGGTCTGTGCATGGTACAGGAGCAAGCCAGAGCAAGCCTCCCCCTCGTAAACCCTGTTGCTCATGGTTGGGCTCAATGGGGTAATGTAGGGGCGTCAATAATTCGAACAGGATTTTGGGGTATACTATACTCTAAATATAGTAAGAAACACCCAAACATGATATAGGTAATTGCTAAGGCCCTTATATTACGGTATCGGGCTGGTCGTCTGCATCTCGTTGTGACGACGGTGTATGCTGCTCTTGGGTAGTTCTCTAAATTACTGTCCCTTTTTGGGTTCCCCCAAATAGTACGGCACCCATACAAAAAGGACCCTAAAAGGGACCCTAATTTAGAGAACTACACATCTGGCGATAGTTTATCTGCCTTCGGTACTTTCTACGATGAGCCTTGAAGATGATTCACCACCCACCCAGTGGTACCAAGTGATCATGCTGCTGATGATGATCAAGCCAAGTGAAAACAGGAAGGACCCCTAGAAGGGACCCCTAATCCTAATGCCCTGTATAGCCCTTACATACCCCTTAAAAAGGTGCCATTGAGCCCTTATAGAACCCAAGGGTCGATTTAAGGGTCCCTCCTTTAGTCCCTTGATCAACCCTAAACCCTAAACCCTACTCTGCCGACAGGTTGCTCCTGCTTCTTCTGCTCCTGTCAGGGAACTGTTGAGATCTTCAGGGTCTGGGTTTTGCAGTAGACCCCTAACAATAAGGGCACCCTTTTTCCTACTCTTTGGGTTTAATAAAGGACCCCAGAAACAAAAAGGGTAAAAGGGTACTACTGGGGAAGCTAGGGGTGTAGGCTTGCTCTCCAATGGAGGTCAACCCTTGGCTGGTGGATTCCAGTAGTACTGACTGATATTTTGGGTGTTACTGTTAGTAGTCTTAGTAGCATTTTTTTTAGGGTTATTAGTTCAATAAATTTCGTAAACATGCTAGTAGTAACTAGCATTACTGGAGTATTACTGTCACTGTTCTTTTGGTCGGATCATACCCAACCGGTTGGTTAGCTACTCAGATTCCCCAGAGCTCGTTATCTACCACAGCTTCCTTGCTTTCGCGGGGTCTCTACTACAGAACTCGAATGTGTAGGGACCTTCCAACTAGTGTGTTTGGCTGTCTCAAGCAAACCCTAAACCCCAAAGCGACTGAATAGCAGCAGCGGGACCGATCATCCATGGAGCTTGAACTAAGCTCTATAAACCCTAAACCCTAAACCCTAGTTAAGATTCCCGAAGCCCTCACTTCGAAAAATCCCTGAGCCCTAAGCCCTAAACCCAAACCGGTGACCCTAGACCCCCAAACCCTTCTGCCACAGCTGGCCTCGGCAACGCGCTTGTTGTGGATCTCGTCGATGCGGCGCTGTGCCTGCAGGAGCTCGGTAATGGCTTAGTGTTAGTTGAGTCTAGGGCCTCGGGTTTAAGGGTTTATTTATTGGAGCTGAGGAATTGTAATAGGTTTGTTTGGAGTTTGGGGTGAGGGCTCGGGGTTCAAAATGTTCGGGAGCACGCTTACCCAGAGAGCTCAATACCCTTAGACTAAGTTAAGGAGTTTACTTCAATACCCATATAAGGAGTACACCTTGAAAACATCTACTATAGTGCCCGGCGCGGACATCCAGAAGGCTGTGCTGGGTTTTGGGGGTTCGCGGCGGTTGCCGAAAAATCGGGCAGCGCTCGGTCCCCGAGTGCATGCGCCCTATGAGCCCGAAACCTAGCCGAGCGAAACCTCGCAAACTTTGCGTATAGCAGAAGGCGCGGCCGGAAGTGCCGCCGACCCCTAAACCCTAAAACTTATATAAACCCTAAACCTTATATAAACCCTAAACCTTATAAACCCTAAACCTTATATAAATCCTAAACCTTATATAAACCCTAAACCTGCTTCATCGGACCCTCGTTCTTCTACCGGGCCGCGGGGGACCTCGCCCGGAGGCATTTCGTCAGCACTCGGGGCGCCCGCAACCGGCCCTGCAGCGCGAGGCCATGCTTTGCCAATGTTTTGCATGGGTTGGCCCGCAAAGCGCGCACCATCAGCATCAGCGGGGTTCGGTGGAAGGGGGGGTGCGTGGCATTGCTCCAGGCTTCTACCTGCACTGCCCGCCCGTGGGCGCAGCCCCTAGAAAAAAAATCGCCCACTGCAGGACAACAATCCGCGCACACAAACATGTTCTGCTGCGCAAGAATCACCGAGAGGTATCCATCATAACGTCCCCCCCCCTTCACAGCAGCGTGAGATTTTGCAGGATTTCCTTCCGAAATTGATCTGGCTTCCAAAACGGTTCGAAAGGGTTGCTCTCGGGTTTCCTTTTGAGGGCTCTATAAGGGCTTCGGGCCCAGCTTCTGCAAGACAGCTCCTACTTCCTGCAGCCTTGGGAATACCTCAACGAGTCGACGATCTCATGTGTCGCGAGAACCCCGAACCCAAAACTCTGCAGCCTAAACTTAAGGTTTGGGGTTTAGGGTTTAAACCCTGAACCCCGCGAATCCCTGCAGGCGCGTCAAAGACTACGGCCCGCTTCAAAGGCGCGGCCCAGGCTATGAAACGGGTAAGAAATCCACCAAAATGCGGAATCACTAACACTAACTCTAAACCCTAAACCCTAAACCCCCTACAACCCTGGCACCAAGGAACAAAGACTCAGATTTTCCTTCCCGGCCTCCTCCAATGCCCGGGTGGCCTCCTCCGAGACCTCGTTCCGGCAAGGGATTGTAGGGGCTTGGAGGTCAGAACTTGCTTTTAGGAAATTTGAGGTTGAGGATTTTTGGGTCAGGGATTGGGTTTAGAATTTGGGCTTTAGGGCTGGGTGTTTACGGGCTAGTCAGTACGACTTTTTAGATTTCACGTTTCACGGTCTACGACCCAAGCATTTACAGCTGTATACACTTAGAGCTAGGCAGGTGGCTAGACAGAGAGCATCTGCAATTGAGCTGTAAGTACATGGGTAGTTCTCTAAATCGGGGTCCCTTTTAGCGTGTGGCTCGCA